AGAATCAGGAAACACCCACCGGCGCTCTTCGTGACCTCATTCTTGCACTGCAACGCTGCAACGTTTTTAAAATGCTCCAATGGTGAGGCTCGTACGGGAGTTGGAAAGCAGCGTGGTAGTTACCCAAAATGCAGTGTGCCGCCTATAGCCCTTAGACTGGTACTCGCTCCCACCTTTCGACTGGGCAATGGGAGTGAACGCAAGAATTTCGTCAGTCTTTGTGTGATTTCTCTATGTGAACGCTCGGCTCGAGCCAAATTTGGCTTATTTGGCGCAGGCCTAATTAGGCTCAAACTAAAAACGTCCGTGTGAACGCGCCTATAGGTTAAATGCCAAAATGAAAACGAAACGTCACGAATTCTATTTTTATCCTCCAATCACAAGTCGGAGCAATTCCTCTGTTTACTAGACTGTTTTACTTTGTTTAACTTTTACTTTTAGTGTTTAGAGTCAGACTCCTCTGAAAAGGATACTAAGAGCTAGCATGTTTGTCTGCTGGTCGAAGGCTATAACTTCTCCTTCAATCTTTTGTCCATTACACGTTGTACACGTCAGCTCATTGCCAATTGTAAAATATACACGACCTTGAGCCATTATCCATGTCATTTTGTGCTTATTTCTTATTATAGGTCTACTTGACTTGTCTCTGCAAATGCAATCATGTTATAAAGCTGAGCACCGGTTAGTGCTGCTACGTAGTGAGAAAATCTAGAACTAAGTAGAAACTCAGAAACACCCGGAAGAGGTCGCTGCAAAAAGGAAACGTTCAAACGTCCGTCGCATCCGAAGACAGAATGTCAACAACAAGTTGAACAACATTGACTAGCGGAGAAATCCAGCCTCCAGGTACTATTGAATTATATTACTATTCAAATTAAAATAATTCAATATGTAAGTATAACGCCCGTTTACATGCCCGTTAGTAAACGGTTTATGCGATGTAGAATGCGTTACAGGCGTTATAGTGTACTGTCTAAGTGTCCACTCAGTGGCCACTGTCTTCCCATTCTACTTGCTCTCCAAGTGACACATTCACACTCACAGTCACAAAGACTCAAAGTGACAGACTAGCCTCAGAATAATATAAGAAAAAAGATATGCCTAGTAGCTAAATACCAATGACATTTACTACTAAAGGTGTTGTGTTTGTGTACTCTATATCGCTTAGTAATTATAGTATTACTATTACTATTAGTATTACTCAGTATTACTATTAGTATTAGTATTAGTCACTGGCAGCAAGAACAAGTCCGCACCTGCAGCGGCTGCGGCTATAGTCCGCAAATGCAGACGTTATAACTCCGCTTTGCTAATCTGAGGGTGCAGGTTTATCATTACCATTACTGGTGTCTGCGTCGACTCGGACTGCTGCAGCTACAGCACACACGCGGCCATTGAATATATATATAACAACTTGTTTTATAACATTGTTATATATAGTCAATGGCCGCGTGTGTGCTGTAGCTGCAGGTGCGGACTTGTTCTTGCTGCCAGTGGTATTAGTAAGTAGGAACTTAGTAATAGTAGGCCCCCTACTTGTAAGTTGTAATTAGTACCGTAATCGCTTTGAGTCTGTGCAAATGCTTGCACTTTTACAACATTGTGTTCAATAATTCATACCTACACGCCGCAGTATAACGGCCCAAGCCTAGTTTAGCACCCCAGATTAGTTTAGCACATATGCAAAAACACATTTGCGGGGTCCCAAACTATCCTTGATCCAGTAAAACTTATATGTCTTAGTATAGTATAACTTAACTATATATATATATATACTATTTACTTACCATACTATACTACTAGTAGTAGTTTAGTATACTATAACTATCAGAACATGCTATAATTAAAGGGATACTTTCCTCTAGAATTTAGGAGTATATTATGATAGTAGATTCATAAATCATGGCATATATACCTACCTACAAATTTTTATAATTACGCATTCACATGTCGTTTGTCATAAAACAACAATGAATTTCCAAATTTTTAATTTTTAGGTGCTGACATCACTCGCGATTGTGCTGCCACCCTGAAAAAGTTGCGCATTTGCCAATTTATTTTGCACATTACCACGGGGTATTCTACCTGCTTAATATGGGCACCCGTGGCGAGTGTAGCGAGCCTAAAAAATTATATATATATACTTATCTATCACATTAAATTGGGAGTTTGGTCGACACATTTTATTCAGATAATCGATTATAGATCTTATATGAGCATTTTATTATAAAACAGTGCCTATATATAATGATAGAAACATGGAGATCTGCATCAGAGCTCTGCTAATTTGGGCATTTTATGAATTTTGTAATTTGGGCGTTTTGCTAGGGGGTCGTAATTTGGGCGGCCGGTATTTGGTTTGAAAAATGGCCAGGATTAGGCCCTGCATTACAGATCAAGAGCTAATCACAAAAGTGCAATAATATTTATACCTAAATGCTAAAACTGAACGATATTCATTTTAGAACAACTTCATTCATATTATAACTGAAACTAAGCATAATTTAGAAGATAGTGCAATCCTTTTGCTCTTAAACTAATAAATAAGAAACGCCTTCGGTCTGTAGCCTGCAGCCGAAACGTACGTTGCTTTGTGCAACTTTTTCAGTGGATGCACTGCCAGTGGCGCCACCGTCATTGTAAGCAACGATATAGCCGTCGGTTTTTAAACATTAAAAAAATAAATTCCTAATGAATACTGAACCATAAAACTTTTTATGTAACTTAATTTTAACCTATTTTAACTGAAAATATCTGAAGAACTTAGAGTAATGTAACCAAACACGAGAATAGGTAGCCTGACCAGGCTGTACGATCATTTTATGTCGTAGACTTCTCGCCATGTAGCTCCAAGAAACGGTCTTTGCTAAGGTTAGAAGACCTATTGCAAGAAGAATAGGTCACTGTTGTGTTGGGTTACAATATTGTATCTATAATATCAGGAGTAATTATTTACTCCTGGTACCATCAACGTATACTTCCACATTTATATTTTTGACGTGTACCATCTTCAAAGGATCTTCGTTTCTGTAATCATATAATATGCCTATTGGAATTTAGTTCACATTTAGTTAATTGTAAAATTTAAGTTTTTTCTACTGCAACCCACAGTCTCTCTCCATCTTTAATGTAGTCCTGTTAACTTTGAAGACTAATCTTTACGATGTTATAAGGTTTTATTCCCAGCTATCTTATCCTGGATTATCAGATAATAAGGGAGTTGGTGATAAATATGTATCCATCCTTTAGTGACAAGTTAAGCCACTTTATTTAGTCAAAGCATTATGTAGTCGAGGTGAGTACTTGTGACACTCTGTGGTAGCCTATACTCCAACCAACTAATAGTAATACAGCAGATGATAACTAAATATTTTCGTTTACTCAACTTAATTCTTGTGGGACTTTTGTGGGATTAATTTTAATTTCAAGTTAGGTTAGGATTTTCCAATGGATCAGATTAGAATGGATTATATTATTTAACTTTGCTAGAAAATGTGAAAACATTGGAGGGTAGGGATTTACAGTATCGTACTAGTCATACTCTCACTGATTGAATCATATACTATAATGTTAAAAGTAAACATAATCCAATCATTATTTAAAATTTTGGTTTCAAGATCACCATTGGATTAATGAAGCAGGACCCTGTATGCAAGTCTTCATAAGAGAGTTTGGGAAATGAATGTGTGCGGTGACTGTGGTCATGTATGTGTGACACTAGACCAATGAAGGATCGAAACACACAAGGGCACAATTCCCCACCCCATATTGGTCTGCCCCTTGGAGGAAATGATGAGAAGCAGTCGAAACTTCGTGAAGAAAGAAAGAATGAATACCTAGACTTTTTAGTAAAAAAGGTACAAGTATTATTTATAGGTAGTCCATCTTACTTGTTTATTCTTTTTATACAGTTATTAAGATATGAATGAATGACCTAACATAGTCGGTATTTATTTTAAGGTGGCATGTCCTAACTCACACTACTAAAAATGCTGAGACCATATAAGCCAGAAATTACATACAATAAAGTAGCCTGCCAAGTAGGACTCTGACAGTTGCATTTATTCAATGGGGAAGGAGAATTTGCAATGGCATCCAGTGCAAATGGTTCATAGATTATTAAACAGTACATGTGGAATGAATTCAAGTGAGAATAGCTCAAGATAGCGCATACCAAAGGCCTTATTCGCCTTTAAACCACTGTAAAGGTTATAGTAACCACTTGTAACATAAAACAGTGTGCCTATTTAATATTTACATTGTGTGATACAAGTATAATGTAATTAATAATTGTACAATTCTGATCAAGGACAATATTGATTGATGTTGTTTCACATGTTGTAAAATACTAGCACTGTCCAAGCTCAAATATTAGGAGGTTGAGCTTATCACAGGAAGCACCAAACTTGAGGATTCTTGTTCTTGGAAATTGACGCTAAAATGCTGCTCTATGAGCATGCCGATACAGAGCAAATATTTTGAGGAAAGAACTGCAAGTATTTTCCTAGGAGTTCGTAGCAGTTTTAAGTATATATTGGAGTAGTTTTTATGCTAGCAGTAAAAAGTGTTATTTTTATCACCGTTGCTTAGTCACATACTTTATATGCACTACTGGTGGCACCATTCTTTCACTGCAGCGCTTGGCCCACTAATTATGCTAGGAGTTATAGTGACGAAACCACAATGGCACGTGGCTAGGTTATAACTCTCATTGATCCGGCTCGAATCAATGGTTGCCACAGAGTAGAGTAGCAACAGCACACTGTGGTGACTGCAGACGCATTTGTCATTATTCCAGTAGGACCACACAGACAGTTTTTAGATTGGAAGGCTCTAGAATCTTAGAATGCTACGTGTGTAATTTTGGTAAATACTAATGGAAAATAATCATTTGATTTGGCCGTTCAGGTCACACATATCTAAACATATTCCTACCATTCATTGCTTGTGAGGGCAGAGATATAGTTTTAGAGAATCTGACGGTCTGCAACATTATCTGTATCTATAAAAAGTGAAGCATAGTACCACCAAGCATGGCAAGCGTGAGGAAAATCGTTTAGGTTCGTATATTTTCTTTTTGTCCTGTAACGTTCTGCATGGGTTATCATTAGTACGCTATTACTTTATATATTATTATTACATTCCGTATCATGCGGTATCAGCCACTATATATGTAACTGCCAAGTTGACTTTTTTCTCTCCAGGTACGCAGTAGCTCCTACCTTCTCACACGTCATCAAGTTAAGTGCTGTGTACCAAAACTATTAGGGAAAGCATTTCTGCGCAAACACGAAAAGGCAATTACCGCTTTTAAAGTCGATCAATAGTATTTGCCTTGGTCAAGTGGAAACTACGATATTGGTTCAGTTACACCTTGGTGGAAATGGCAACCGTACAACGGGAACGTAGCAGTGTTGTTGATATACGTTTCTGTTAAGCTACAGAGATGCTTCTTGTCAGATTTGCAGATAAGAGGCACATCTTTTGTGATCCAGACATCTGTTTGTAACATCTTCATCTGCCTTGAGCACCCTGAGATTTCTGCATGACCTACGAAATGTTCAAGTGTTGCTAGTTGTTGGAAGAATGTCTCAAAAGGGACTGGTGCACATTTGCCAAGATTCATAGAAAAAATTTGCAGAGCATTTGAGACTGACAATTAATATTTTTCCTGGAACTATGATCTTCGTGACATGCTTGGGATTTCAAGACCAGTCACCTGACTAAAAGCAAATTGGGGCATTGCTAGAGACAGCAGATTCTTACTTTGTTTACAACTGCGTGGCACAATAAAAAATATCTTGCTGAATACTGCAAAAATCCTGTGTGAAGGATCAAGGAATGCACTTGAACTGAATGACATCTGTTGTTCTTTCATCGACATATAGTGTCGGTCATCTCAGGCTGTGGTAACACAACTGAAAGGAAAATGAGTAGATATGATCCAACCACCAATAGCCTTGGTTTCAATGGACTCAGGGTCGGTAAGAGTGCAGCTGTGCGGAAGCAACAAATATCTGTGCGGGAGGAGAACACCCTAGCAGCTATTAAGGGCTGGCAACGGCAACAGAACTTGGAGAGGACAGTGTCACAGGTAGGACTTGGCGCTGGTTACCATAATGACGGGCCTGTGAAAAATGGCGCCACCAGCAGTGGTAGTGACACCTTGCTTAGTAGTAGCAGGCAACCTGCACATGAAAAGATAGGAAGGCACGAGTTTAAGGCCAGCTCTGCAGAAAACCCCACAAGAAACCCTCAGAGAATAGATAATGACATACAGGGTAGAAGGCAAAGCAATCACATGATGATGAATAGTATCCCTGAAGGACAAACTTTAGGGAAAAGTGCTAAACATCGTCAAAGTCGTCTGGAGGAGAGACAGCAGAAAACATTAAGTGCTCAAGACAGCTGGGCAAAGCAACAGGAGTTAGAGCAAATTATTCAGAATAAATCGCCTAACCCTGATTATATTGTTTTACCCCAGCCTAATGAAGATGAAGGGTTGGCATTTGGTACCAGTGCATTATTAATTCAAGATAAAACCCAAAAGCAAGTATTAAAAGTAAACTTAGCCAGAGAAAACTGGGAGAAACAGGAAGACATAGAGAAATCTATACAGAACCATAGCATAAAGAACCATGCGAATACAGATGATATCCCTGATGCACTTGTGTTGGGCAAAAGTGCTAAACATCGTCAAAGTCGTCTGGAGCAGAGAGAGCAGAAAACAGTGATTGCTCAAGACAGCTGGGCGAAGCAACAAGAGTTAGAACAAATTATTCAGAAAAAATCTGCAAGAACTGATGATAGTACTTTTAATTCTTGCTTCTGGATTTTATCTTGAATTAATAATGCACTGGTACCAAATGCCAACCCTTCATCTTCATTGGGCTGAGGTGATACATTATAATCAGATATAGATGATTTGTTCTGAATAATTTGTTCCAACTCTTGTTGCTTCGCCCAGCTGTCTTGAGCACTTACAGTTTTCTGCTCTCTCTGCTCCAGACGACTTTGACGATGTTTAGCACTTTTGCCCAACACAAGTGCATCAGGGATATCATCTGTTTTCGCATGGTTCTTTATGCTATGGTTCTGTATAGATTTCTCTATGTCTTCCTGTTTCTCCCAGTTTTCTCTGGCTAAGTTTACTTTTAATTCTTGCTTCTGGGTTTTATCTTGAATTAACAATGCACTGGTACCAAATGCCAACCCTTCATCTTCATTAGGCTGAGATGAAACAAACTTAGCCAGAGAAAACTGGGAGAAACAGGAAAACATAAACAAATCTATACAGAACCATAGTATGAATCACACAAAGGCGGGTGATATCCCTGATGGACTTGTGTTAGGCAAAAGGGCTAAACATCGTCAAAGTCGTCTGGAGGAGAGACAGCAGAAAACTGTAAGTGCTCAAGACAGCTGGGCGAAGCAACAAGAGTTGGAACAAATTATTCAGAACAAATCTGCAAGAACTGATGATAGTGTTTCATCTCAGCCTAATGAAGATGAAGGGTTGGCATTTGGTACCAGTGCATTGTTAATTCAAGATAAAACCCAGAAGCAAGAATTAAAAGTAAACTTAGCCAGAGAAAACTGGGCGAAACAGGAAGACATAGAGAAATCTATACAGAACCATAGCATAAAGAACCATGCGAAAACAGATGATATCCCTGATGCACTTGTGTTGGGCAAAAGTGCTAAACATCGTCAAAGTCGTCTGGAGCAGAGAGAGCAGAAAACAGTGATTGCTCAAGACAGTTGGGCAAAGCAACAAGAGTTAGAACAAATTATTCAGAACAAATCTGCAAGAACTGATGATAGTGTTTCATCTCAGCCTAATGAAGATGAAGGGTTGGCATTTGGTACCAGTGCATTGTTGATTCAAGATAAAACTCAAAAGCAAGAATTAAAAGTAAACTTAGCCAGAGAAAACTGGGAGAAACAGGAAAACATAAACAAATCTATACAGCACCATAGTATGAATCACACAAAGGCAGATGATATCTCTGATGGACTTGTGTTAGGCAAAAGTGCTAAACATCGTCAAAGTCATCTGGAGGAGAGACAGCAGAAAACTGTAAGTGCTCAAGATAGCTGGGCGAAGCAACAAAAGTTGGAGCGAATCATTCAGAGCAAATCTGCAAGAGCTGATTTTATTCTTCCACCTCAGCCCCATGAAGGGTTGGCACTTGGTACAAGTGCACGGTTAATTCAAAATAAAACCCAGAAAAAGGAATTAAAATTTAGATTGGCAAGGGAAAGCCGGGAGAAACAGCATGATATAAGTAGAAGCATTGAAGAAAAACCACCTCAAACGAACACTGATACCCGCCCTGGTTTTGGTAAGAATGAGGAAGGCCTACCAATCGGTAGCACTGAACAGCTGCTACAGGAGATTACTCGAAGGCAAGAGTTAAAAAACAGAGGTGAACTGTCGGAACCAGCAGAAGTTGGGCAAGTCTCTACATAATGAGCTTATGATGAATGTGCCATGCAAAATAGTACTGTGGAGTAATTAGTCTAAACATCTCAGAAAATGCTGTTAGAAATTGTCTTATATTTAGTAAAAAAATTAAAATTAAAATTTTAAATATAGAAGTTGAAATTTACTTAGTTACAGAATGTGCATCTTATATTTCCCAGCATAACTACTGTGTCACAGGATGAATTATTGGACATGCAGTCATTATTCTGACACCAATAACTTTTTAATTATATAAAATTTTATTGTGTGTTAAGTTGTGTACATTGCACAGTAACATCACTCAGAGGAGTACTTATATGTTATAACTGCATCGCATTAGCTGCTTGGCTTAGTGTGGTTTGATGTATGTGATGGAAATGTTATCATTAA